AGATGCAGCTGGCTTTTTAACGCTGTCTTGTGAAATAGCTGTTCTTCTAACTGAGAATGTGTGGGCGAAAGTGTGAAGAACCAATCCAACAACTATTTCAGGGGCTCAATGTGTACTAAATGATTCTAGAAAATTACAATTCTTCTCAAAGTTGATTATCTGTAAAACAATTTTTGACTAAAATGTATTATCATCTAATGGAGTTTGTTATGTTAATAGAAAGAGACCCTCCTCATAATTTCTCTGACAACTGAAATGTTGGTTGGTATAGGATTTTGACATCTGAAGTTGCCTCTCTTTGAAATTGGTAGCTAATGTATTACTACAGTATTGTAAACTGTTCACCTACAGAGAGAGAGGGAGAGTTTCAAGTTTTTTTTAATCAAGGTTTATTTGTCACATGCACAAGTACAGTGAAATGCTTAACTTGCGAGCCCTTCCCAACAATGCAGTATTCAATATTTAAATAGTATAACTAGAAAAATAGAGAAACACGAGAAATAAGAAAGGAAGAAATAAAAACAGGAGATTGTAAGCTACAGTATATACAGGGTCAGTGTCAGTACCACATTTACAGTGTGCGGGGATACTGGAGTAGTTGAGGTAGATATGTACCTGTAGGCAGGGATACTGGAGTAGTTGAGGTAGATACAGTGAGGGAAAAAAGTATTTGATCCCCTGCTGATTTTGTATGTTTGCCCACTGACAAAGACATGATCAGTCTATAATTTTAATGGTAGGTTTATTTGAACAGTGAGAGACAGAATAACAAAAGAAATCCAGAAAAACGCATGTCAAAAATGTTATAAATTGATTTGCATTTTAATGAGGGAAATAAGTATTTGACCCCTCTGCAAAACATGACTTAGTACTTGGTGGAAAAACCCTTGTTGGCAATCACAGAGGTCAGATGTTTCTTGTAGTTGGCCACCAGGTTTGCACACATCTCAGGAGGGATTTTGTCCCACTCCTCTTTGCAGATCTTCTCCAATTCATTAAGGTTTTGAGGCTGACGTTTGGCAACTCGAACCTTCAGCTCCCTCCACAGATTTTCTATGGGATTAAGGTCTGGAGACTGGCTAGGCCACTCCAGGACCTTAATGTGCTTCTTCCTGAGCCACTCCTTTGTTGCCTTGGCCGTGTGTTTTGGGTCATTCTCATGCTGGAATACCCATCCACGACCCATTTCAATGCCCTGGCTGAGGGAAGGAGGTTCTCACCCAAGATTTGACGGTACATGGCCCCGTCCATCGTCCCTTTGATGCGGTGAAGTTGTCCTGTCCCCTTAGCAGAAAAACACCCCCAAAGCATAATGTTTCCACCTCCATGTTTGACGGTGGGGATGGTGTTCTTGGGGTCATAGGCAGCATTCCTCCTCCTCCAAACACGGTGAGTTGAGTTGATGCCAAAGAGCTCGATTTTGGTCTCATCTGACCACAACACTTTCACCCAGTTCTCCTCTGAATCATTCAGATGTTCATTGGCAAACTTCAGACGGGCCTGTATATGTGCTTTCTTGAGCAGGGGGACCTTGAGGGCGCTGCAGGATTTCAGTCCTTCACTGCGTAGTGTGTTACCAATTGTTTTCTTGGTGACTATGGTCCCAGCTGCCTTGAGATCATTGACAAGATCCTCCCGTGTAGTTCTGGGCTGATTCCTCACCGTTCTCATGATCATTGCAACTCCACGAGGTGAGATCTTGCATGGAGCCCCAGCCCGAGGGAGATTGACAGTTATTTTGTGTTTCTTCCATTTGCGAGTAATTGCACCAACTGTTGTCACCTTCTCACCAAGCTGCTTGGCGATGGTCTTGTAGCCCATTCCAGCCTTGTGTAGGTCTACAATCTTGTCCCTGACATCCTTGGAGAGCTCTTTGGTCTTAGCCATGGTGGAGAGTTTGGAATCTGATTGATTGATTGATTGCTTCTGTGGACAGGTGTCTTTTATACAGGTAACAAGCTGAGATTAGGAACACTCCCTTTAAGAGCCAGAAATCTTTCTGATTGAGAGAGGGTCAAATACTTATTTCCCTCCTTAAAATGCAAATCAATTTATATCATTTTTGACATGCGTTTTTCTGGATTTTTTTGTTGTTATTCTGTCTCTCACTGTTGAAATAAATCTACCATTAAAATTATAGACTGATCATTTCTTTGTCAGTGGGCAAACGTACAAAATCAGCAGGGGATCAAATACTTTTTTCCCTCACTGTATGTACATGTAGGCAGGGATCCTGGAGTAGATGAGGTAGATATGTACATGCAGGCAGGGATACTGGAGTAGTTGAGGTAGATTTGTACATGTAGGCAGGGATACTGGAGTAGATGAGGTAGATATGTACATGCAGGCAGGGATACTGGAGTAGTTGTGGTAGATATGTACATGTAGGCAGGGATACTGGAGTAGTTGAGGTAGATATGTACATGTAGGCAGGGATACTGGGGTAGTTGAGGTAGATATGTACATGTAGGCAGGGATCCTGGAGTAGTTGAGGTAGATATGTAAATGTAGGCAGGGATTGGGAGAAAGTGACTGGATCAATAATAGTAGTAAATAGTAGAAGTGTAAACATGGCTGAAAAGTGACTGGTAGCAGAAATGTATAAATACTATGGTAATATCAACATGGAAACAAGAGTAGGCTAATAGTGACCAGGAGCAGGATCAATAGATAGGCTAGATAGAGGAAGAGAGAGAGAAGGTTTATCTGGACACTTGAAGGGATGCTTTGAGAGGAGGCTGAGATCCCACCCAGTGAAAGAGTAGGCGGGTCAAGAGGCGGAGGATGGCACACAGGCGTCACCGCGCTCTTGACACAGACCAGACGTTTCAACTTTTTCTATCAGTTGCGAGTGAGCTGCTACAGCAAGGAAGTATCCTCAGTTGAGATATCCACACCGGAGACAAAAGAGTCGAACGCTTTTTCCTTTCCTTCAACCAACCTATATTTTGGAGGATCTGTTTTTACAAAGCGGAACCACTATTCTTTCGATGTTGACATCGTCGTTTTCTGATTAAAAGGGCACTGGGTGGGCTCTAATATTTTGCATTTAGGAGGTGTGAGAAGTTCAACAGTGGATTTTCAGATATTTTACTGTTATTGACAACTCTTATGTCCCGCTACTAAAGCGGTTTAGGACATGTCCGATTCGTCCAGGTGAGTGCAAAATGAACATCAGAATATCGCATGCATTTACTGTTTTTAAAAAGGTTATAATTTCAGTAGACTAAGAATAGACAAATGTAACAGAAAATTGCACCGCCATTCTCCCAAATTTAGACTTCACTCAGTTGTCAAGAAACCGTGATTCTGAGCAAAATAGCCACGAAAGCCCCATAGGCCTACTTAATCGTTTTTAGAGAATTATGGTGTCTGGTCTAAATGCATTTAATTTGTAGGCTACCATATCAAATTGGCTAGTCATGTGTTTTCGTAATGCAACAAAAGTATCGTATTCCGCTCACGGCGCACGCCTTGCGCACGCCTCGCGTCGACAGCGCTTTGGCATTATTTGGAGAAAGTTCGTGCTTGTTTTGATGAAGTCCACCCCCGTGTCTGCACAGCGGTTTAGCATATGATAATTATGTTATCTTAACCGATGTCAATCGTTCCTGATTATCTTTAGTAGCCTATAATCATCATCCTAGAAAAGCTTGAAACACTGAACTCGTTGGACTTTGCTATTGAATAGAATTAAAATAAAGACCATATTCACATTTCTTTCCACTATTTCCTGAGATTTAGGCTGCTATATTTTGTAGGCCTATTGGTCTACTTTATTATCGGTTACAATGCGATGGATGACATCATTATATAGCCTATAATACGCCAGTAGGCAGTTTTTTATTTTGAGGATGGGGATGAGTGAAAGGTACCTGTTTTGTTTTTCTTTTGTTTTCCACGTTAACCTACCCTCACTCTTCTCAGACGATCCAGCAATAAATGAATCACCTGTTGAAGTTGAACGACAATGGGTCTCCTGTTCTCAGGTGATTCAGTGATATAAAGGCGAGGGGTCAAAATGTGTTTCCATTTTCAAGACAAAGTAAAAAATACTTTTTTAAATATAATGAGGAAAGCTACTACTGCAACCTGTGGGTGGCGATAATGGACCCGTAGACTAGCCTATGATTTTGGATGCGTTTCATTTGGCTAATCCAATCGCCTGCCAGTCACAGAGGCTTTAATCCAATCAGGTCTGCTTTCAACACATGTTCGTAGAAAAAAAAGATTCATAACAAATGTGTGCGGACACTCAAGCAACAAACTGCTAGACGTGCTTGTACTCTATTGTTCGTTGTCTGACTGTCTGCGATTTGGTTGTCTCTAAAATGCGGCTTTCGATTTAACTTTGAATGTGTTTGATATGAGTAAGTATTTATGATATAGTAGGCTACTGTAGGTTACTGAAAGTATTATATAAAGTATTATAAAGTCGACAGATAGCCTATAGGCATAATAGAGAAAAAGTGTATGCTGCCTGCGGTCCTTCATGCGCAAGAGAGATCCTTCATGCGCTATTTGGAACCAATTCGACTATGGAATACAAGTAACGATCAGATTAATTTCGAAAAACATGACTATAACTAGATTTGTCCTGGGGATCCACAATAGGCTATTCACACATTTAATTTCGGATAGAATAAGTTAATTTGGCTTGGAGATTGGGTTGTGACGCAGTTACTACGGCTCGTAACTTCATGCCAACTGTTTTTCCCTACTAGAAATGCTGCAATCAGCACTTCTGTACAAACAATGGAGGTACGTGGAGAGGAAGAAGAAGGAACGGCCGACTCAAAAACTTGGATAGACTGGACACTGGACTCGACCCTGCGGGATATTTAGCCATGCGCGTTCTGTTTTATTAGCCTACGTTTTCTAGAAATTATGGCAGTTTTAGATTTTAGATTCTAGGAGAGGAAATCTCCAACAAATAATGACAATGCACGGACAAAATAATAAAAAATAGCCTAACTCTGATACTCGATCTATCCTACAGACCACACAATCGGTCCAATGTCTCGACCACTCTAATTGAGAGAGGGAAAAGCGGAGAGTCGCATCCGGGTGGTGGAGCAGCCTCCCGTGCCGAACCGTCTGACATCCCCCAGTCCTGCGAAGGGGACCAGCAGTCACGGGGAGGAATAATGGTTCCGAATAGTCTGCTTGGTTTCCAGTCGAGGTCGCCGGTGTTCAGAACACTGTCCAGGGGCTCCAGTGGATATTTTTCGTTCGACAGCGATTCTATTCCAAGCTCCCCGATATTGAAAGATAACAAGTCGACACAGACTCCGAGCCCATCTAGCCAAGTCATTACCCACGCACTGCAGCGCATGTCTCAGGCACTGGAGACCCGGCGAGATTATGGTAAGGCACGCACCCTTGCTGGTGTCGCACAGGTTGTTACTCACAATCCAGAGCGCTGGCTTCGAGGTGGGCAGGTACATGGCATGGCGCACATGATAAACTCTTTACGCGCAAAAATGATGTGCGCTGCCCTTGTGGCAATCAGAAAGTGCACTATTTTTATACACTTAACTCACACCAGTTGACGACATCCTCTGACTATTCCAATGTACTAAGGACCATTGGTTCTGTAGCGTATTCATTGATATGGGGGGAGGATGGCGGGCTATTATGCACGGATGCGTCTTGGTTTATTGCGCGCTAATTGTCCCTTGGGTGGTTTGTAATGTCTATAGTTATATTTATTTAAATACCGTAGTCATTACGATATCTGTATGGGTCGAGCATCTTTAATAACTTGACCATGAGCCAATAGTTGGATTTAACCTCAGCAGGAAGTTTTTTTAGATCAGTATCTGCCCTCCGTTTACTGAGTTGTCATAACAAGCCACCAAGGAGTGTGCGTGTGTGCGTGATAGCAAAACATGCGTGCACATGTGTTTAACGGCACCTGTGCTTGCACACAGACTTACACTCAATCTCAATAACATTCCGTGACAAATCCAGTGGCCATAGAAGACAAGCAAAAGGAAATACACAGGGATAAACATGCACTGCTATTTGTCCCCTTAGTGCATAATAGATGTGATTGAGCAGCCTAATTCACCTGTGTACTTTTATTTGACCACATGTAGTGAGTTGGAGTAGAGGCCACATGTAGTGAGTTGGAGTAGAGGCCACATGTAGTGAGTTGGAGTAGAGGCCACATGTAGTGAGTTGGAGTAGAGGCCACATGTAGTGAGTTGGAGTAGAGGCCACATGTAGTGAGTTGGAGTAGAGGCCACATGTAGTGAGTTGGAGTAGAGACCACATGTAGTGAGTTGGAGTAGAGGCCACATGTAGTGAGTTGGAGTAGAGATCACATGTAGTGAGTTGGAGTAGAGACCACATGTAGTGAGTTGGAGTAGAGGCCAGTCAGAATAGACCTCTGTATCTTTTGTCAACAGCAAACAGGGCTTCCTCCCTGCTCATTCTCCTTAGGAGCCGGCTGATATGAGGGACAGATACATCTCTATCTGTAGTGTTTCACACACATCTCTAATCCCAAAGAGACTACACTTAAAGGAAAACTCCACCCAAAAACAATCTTTGGGTATTTGTTTAATTAGACCGTAGTCCAAAATGTTGTGCATGTCAGCAATCAAGTTTTCAAGATATATAACTTTCAAAATACAGAAATACAGCCAGTATGATGCATTCTGCTACCACTACTAAAATATATTTTTGGGATTGAATTTTCCTTTAATGGGTACACTCTTAGAAAAAAAAGTGCTATCTAAAACCTAAAAGGGTTCTTCGGCTGTCCCCATAGGAGAACACTTTGAAGAACCCATTTTGGAATCACGTAGAACCCTTTTGGGTTCTATATAGAAGGCTTTCCACACAGGGTTCTACTTGGAATCAAAAAGGTTTCTCCTATGGGGACAGTCGAATAACCCTTTTGGAACCCTTTTTCTAAGAGGGTAGAGAACAACAACTTTTCTATCTATGATGTTGGGAAGCCAATGAACTGGGCCCCACTCAGAGCCATTTCTTAAGATAAAGTCTGAAGAGTATGTTTGTGGAGAATATCATCAATGTTCTCCAGTTTTAGTACCACCGCCTGTTATTGCCTGACGGAGGCAGACGCTGTGGAGGAATTATTTACCTGTTTTTTTTACTCAGACATTTTATTTTCTGACCATCAGATATGATTGATCCTAGCACACATATAGAAAATCACAAGTGTGGTGTAGTATCTGGTAGTCTATATCAGGGTTCCCCAACTGGCCCGTGGGTGGTTTATATTTGGCCCCCCAAGTTTTCTGAGCAAGAAATAATAAAAGGAAATCAGCTCAGAGTGATTTTATACAAATGTAAGCAAGGTTTGAAATGATTATGTTTTAGTCAAACATTATATCTGTTTGGGCTTCTTGTGGTCAATTTGGCGTCTACAAATTATTTGTAATTATGTTTTCCGGCCCCCTGACCATCCACTCAAGAAAAAATTGTCCCGCAGCTGAATCTAGTTGATGCCTTTGGTGCATTAAATTACATTTAGATTTTGACAACTTTTCTTGAGGTTTCTTGACAAATAGCCTTTATAACGCACTCATAAGATTGTCATAAGATAACAAAAGGTAACATTTCATAACAATAGTCCTACACTCATCATGGGAAATGCTGTGGTGATGCATGATGCATGTCATGAATTGTCACTGTGGTGTGTGTTATTGTTATGTCTCTTTTATGACAGTGATATAAAGCCATTATGCCAGGCTACTTGCAGTAAAGGGTTTCCATATTAACATATAGTACAACTGATATTGCAGGGGCCCTGAGGGATATGAGAAATATTAGACATATGGTTCATGACACGTGAGTCATAACAAGAGATCAGAACACATTCATATTGACAACTAAACCACACTATAGGAACCACTTAGCACGTCAGAAGAGAGTCATACTGGACTCTTCTTAGTACTGTTGTAGCTTGGTCTTTGTTATTAGATTGTGTGCCAATGAGTTCTGAGAGCCATTTGTTCTTTGTCCCCCAGACGTGTGGCCCAACCCCCTCCGGCCCAATAGAGCACGCCCACCACCGACTGCGGGGGACATGCGGCCAGAGATACTAATCGGTCAGGAGCTTCAGCGCATTGGAGATGAATTTAACAACCTCTTCATACATGGGGTGAGTAGTTACACCAGCACTGAGACTTGCAGTCTACTATACACTTACAGAGGGAGGAGCCTAAAAAGAGACCCATATATCCTGATGATACGTCATTTCTGGGGGGAAAACAAGAATTAAACCATCACTTTCAGGGAATTGTTAGCTTCAGTTCAAATATCTCTAAGTGAGTTAGTGGCTGCCAACCACTCTCAAAGGATACGATACACAAAAACAATTATATCAGGATCATGATGATCACAGTAGTCGCTGCAGGACAAGGGAAAGTTCATCTTCCCATTAGATAGTGTCAATTATTTCAGCGTTTTCGCAGACCTGCTGCCGAAATCATAATAATATAATATAATAATATGCCATTTAGCAGACGCTTTTATCCAAAGCAACTTACAGTCATGTGTGCATATATTTTTACATATGGGTGGTCCCAGGGATCGAACCCACTACCCTGGCATTACAAGCGCCATGCTCTACCAATTGAGCTACGATGACAGCATCGTTGAAGAAAATGCTTGTGCAGCCATCAGAGTTGGTTTCTTTCTCTTGCTACTTGCACATTACATTTCTGGAGGTTGCATCACCTTATTTACAAACCATATCAAGGACTGCACTGTATCAAATGGAGCTGATAAGGTGCACAGCTCAACATGTGCCATTCTAGATGATTTCTATTTGTGTCCTTGACCTAGCATAGACACATTCTGTGCTCTCATTTCTTATGTACTGAGGACACTCTGGCTTTAGAACATTATTTATAATACAATGCATATGAATAATATGTTGTTACCAAAATAATAGTATTTGTATACCTTAATCATTTTCAGTGAGCTCACTATGGCATATGCCGTGGAGGGTCATATTATGACTCTTGGCCTGCTATACATGTGTGAATATCACGTATCAGCTGTTACACGACCGGCCTAATGTTCAAAGACACCCCCAGCAGGAGGCTGTCTGTTCAGCACAGACATGAAAAGGTTTTGTGAGGTCATGGAGAGGGAAAGAAGGAGAGAGGGAGAGAGAGAGGCTACATGAAAAGTGCAATACTGTTCATATAAACGTGTTATTGCAGGTTTTCAGTTAATTTATGTATATCACGAAGCTCATCTGCATTTCCTGCAGTGCAGGAAAATTCTCAGCAACAAAAGAGTGATCAAATGAAGATCCTACATCTGTAGCTACAGGACAGGCTCTTTGTAGCTAAAACAATCTCTGTCAGGTGGGGATTAATCTTACCCTGGGTTACCCATTTCCTGGTTAATTCCATAACTCTGTCCAGATCTTACACTTGAACACCAATCATACTCAAAGAGCTTTGTTGGGTTAATTTTTGGAGGGAATTTTTAGTTTATAGAGAATGTTCCATTCTTGTCACTCTCCATCTGAGCAGTCTTGAATTGGCTGAAATGAAAGACCCATAAAATGTTTTTTAACATTTACGTAATTTAGAAGACGCTCTTTTCCAGAGCAACTTATAGGAGCAAATAGGGTTAAGTGCCTTACTCAAAGGAACAACAAAATATTTTTTCACCTAGTCGGCTCAGGGGTTCAAACCAGCGACCTTGCTGCCCCACATCTGTTTGAAAGCTGTTGATAATGCATGTTGCATGCATTTCAGGGAGTTTCGATGTGACTGTGCATGGAATTTGTTGACTGTTTTTCTTGCCAGTCCATAACCCCGGGATGTTCCTGTCATGGACGTCGTGTAGATTTGTATCTGTTTTCTTCATCGCCATCCCCAAGGGCCACTTCCTGGTACCCATAAAAGGGGAAGGTTTGTCTGTATAATCAAAAAGATGAACTGATGACTGGACTTTGTATTTGCTCACTAAAAAAACAGAAATATTTATTTCTAATGAGTGCATGAGCATTTGCTGTGAATAATGTGTTACTAATGGCTCAGGGTGTCGGAGGAGAAATACATATTGACACACCTTTCAACAGGTGAGGCTGTTGAAACACACATTCTAGAACAGAACAGGGTGTGTGTGTGTGTGTCTATGTGCCATGTTCTGGTCTCAGGTGTTTGGTTGACGTCAGAGAGGAATTCTGCAAGACTGTCTCTTTCTAGAATCTAGAGCTGTCTCATATGTCTCCCATCTGTCACAATTGTCTATTAAATAACTTTATACAGGTTATTACGTTGTGTGTTACTGCCAAGTGCAGGTGTTTCATACAGTTCTATGTATAGGTTTTCAACTGCCAATAACTGTCATAATGCTTGTATCTGGATGAGCCATATTACTTCCTAGCTAGTGACTATAAAGTGAGTCATTTCATTGTAGACAAAGTGTTTGTGTGTTTTACGGTGTCACGTAAGGTGAATCAAAAAACCTCCTGCACACTTTGTTTACTGATCCACAGGTCTGTGTCATCTGTCAAACTTCCTAGTTCTTCCTTCTGATTGGCTCTATGGCCTCTGGCCACCCACACAACTGACCAGTGACCTACATTACACTAGCGATGACCAGGTTTTGTTTTGCTACACACACACACACACACACCATTCCTTCTCTGCCTAAAAGCCATCATGAAAAATACTAATTAAGGCTGTCTGAGTGTGCAATCAAGGTCAATGAGGCCAAGGCCAGAGGTTTGAGACTGGCAGGAGGAAGGGTCAGGTTACAGGGATGGTGCAGTGTAGCTGGTTGGTGAGTGAGTGGTTGTGTTGCAGCATAGCAGGACTACGTGACTGCTCAGCTTTATTATGCCTACCCTGCGGTTAAGGCTCTCAGGGAGCCCACTGTGGGCTCTAATTATCCACTGGTCCGCCTTTACAGGCCTCACTCACCCAGCGCCATGGAGACACACTCAGTCCAGCTCCGGCCCTCCAGACCTGATCTTTGTCATCTTCTCCCAGGGTCAGTTTGAACCAAGGCTCCAAAGGTTGTCATGCTTTGTGTGAGGCGCTGGAAAGAACTTCTGAGTGGAGTTGGTCCACTGTTAAGTCTTTGAGTGTGTTGCGGCTTTGGGTGTCTCAGTACTCGCTTTCTCTGGTTCAGGGTTTGCACTTTTGGAGCTATTCCATTGGTTCCATTGCACCAGGCCAGCTCAATCAAGCACAGCTAAAGTATTTGGAAGAAATCCAAGTACTATTTGAGCCCAGGTCTGGTGAGACGTCTCTCCAGTGGTGAATATAGTAGTGTGAGACATAAGGACAAGCACCCTGCTAATGCAAAGCAGATGTCTGGCCACAGAAACATGTTGTTATTCTAAGATAACTAAGGTCTGCATTTTGCCACTCAAATTATCTGAGCATTCACATGGCAGCTCACTTCTTTGTGGAGTTTCTATCTTGTTTTTAAATTGTTACGCAAAGGGATTTTCATTAGGAAGCAGTGACGGCCCATCTTATTTGTGACGCAATATTATTTTGGTTTAGGACCTGCAGTCTTTGTCTTGTAGAACAAGGGAGAGAGAAGTTTGTCTGTTTGGGAACTATTTTAAGCAGCTACGTAATAGCTTTTTTAATCAAATAAAAGCACATTCGCTGAGTGTAAGTGACTACTTTGTTTTTCCTCAGCAATTGCAGGCAGACATCTGCGAACGTATTAGCGAGTCACTTTAATTGCATGTCTTCTACTTCAAATTGTGGCTGCTCTCCCAGTTTGTTCGAATTGTTTTTCAGTGTTCTTCTGGCCTTGGACGTTTTTGTTAAGCTTGCATGTGGTGTTGCAGATTTCACTCTGCGTTCTCTCACATCAGCATGTGGTACCTGAAAATCACACAGTTTGGGAACAGAAACAGCTGAATACTCAGGCCCTGATCCATTAGACTTGAGACTAGATTGAAAAGTGTTAATGTTTTGTAATATTGTACCAATTAGCTGTTTGTGGGCATGGGTGCCAAACTGTCAGTGTGTGTATTCAGTGAATTTGTGTATTAACGTCATCACTGCCAAAAACCTGATTCTTAAAGGGAAAGATAAATTGATCCCATTTTTAAGGAAAGTAGCAAGTACAGTACAAAATCCCTTTAATAATATATTATTAAAGGGATCATTCACCTGTTGATTTGCCTTTTTCCAGCCTCTCATGTTGCATGCCTCAGGGTGTGAAGTGCCGTGTGATTACATAATGTGTGTACTAGCTATATAATGCAATACAAAATGCAACATTGAGTCACAATACTCTAATACACACCAGAGAGGTTTTACCCTCAGACTCAATGGCCAAATATCTGGATCAAGTCTATGTGTATACCCTGTGTTGAAACCACTGCCTGGAACGGTTCAATTAGTCAAGCTTACAGTAAGTACAGACATCTTTCTTATTCTATTAAAATCTCAGTAAAACAAAGTGCTGAGTAAAGGGTTTGAATACTTATGTAAATAAGGTATTTCTGTTTTATAATTTTTTAATAAATGTGCTAAAATTTCTAAAAACCTGTTTTCACTTTGTCATTATGGGGTATTGTGTGTAGATTGCTGAGTTTTTATTGTATTTTTTAAATCCATTTTAGAATAAGGCTGTAACGTAACAAAATGTGGGAAAAATGAAGGGGTCTGAATACTTTCTGAATGCACTGTATGTTCTAATCAAACAACCTTTCAACAGCTTGTTTTAAGTTCTTGTTAAATCTTTCAGGGCAATCATTTATATCTAGCCAAACCATCGGCCTGCCATTTCTTTCATGAACTCATCATGTTTGGCCCGAAGGTGAATGGGGTCTTGCAAGGTTGCCAGTTCTGCTCTAAGTCTCTCTTACAGAGGGGTTAATGCACTTCAATTTAAGTCCACTTCCTCATCACCTGTTTCCTCAGACACTATTCACAGTCACTCCAGGCTTTTGTGGTTCTTGGCATGACTCATTTAAACTAAAACAAAGTGTTGATATCCCCCATTCATTTGTTCCTAAATGTCTGCACTGTATGGCTCCCTGCCAAGCTGCTCTGAATCCACACACATGCAGTGATTCACTAATGGAGTGATGCCTCAGTCATACTTCAGCATAGTTCCTGTCAGAAACATAGTTTCTGGTAAAAGTAGAACTCAGACTTGGTGTTTCCTCTGTCCCCTCTGCCAAAGAGGCCACAGGGGAAATGACCAGCGCTTATCGCAAAAGCCCTGCCAATCTAGTGACCTCAGGCCAGCGTGAAGGCCGGGCCAAGACAGCCACCTGTTTTCACCTCCCCTTTGCCAAGTCTGCAGAGGTAATTGTCTGTGAGGAGGGAGTAGTCTATCCATCCCCCATTATTAGGACCCCATGAGCTGGCCAAGTCTAAGTGCACTGCTAAAAACCTAATAGAATGGCTCACAATCTTCCCTAATCTCTCAATTCATCTCACAGGAAAAATTTCCCTATTTGTGTTTAGGTCATCAAGTGCCTCTTCCATCTGAAGCTGAAGTAGCTGACCTAATAGAATGGCTTTTATGACCGTGCTGCTGCCCTGTTTTTCTCATTAAGAAATATGACTCATGTTGTAAACCTGGTATGTTCGTGTGTGAGGGTTGAGTTCAGCCCAAGGCTCTAGTGTGGTGGTTTGCAGGGCCTCTGCCCAACACAGCAATGTTGACACAGAGATCCAAAGAGCAGAGCATCAACAATCCATTGAGAGGGTAAATACATTTACTCTGGTTGCTCATTTAATGCTCAATTGTGTTTGTATAATTCAATACTGTGTACACATAATTAACAAACACACGTACTGTACACAAGCACATCCTGGCACAGTTTCACTGGAGCACAAACACATGTAAGAACGTTTCATTTGTTTGCCTGGGCTAAGTGTGGAGTGAACCCACTGATCCTGACACCTGGAGAGGGACCATGGGTTTGGGGTGAGGTGGGGCAGGATGTTGAGTTGTGTTGGCCTGCTTCCTGTGTTTGTTAGGGTTGCATGTGTGTCATGAAAGGACTGGCACACCGACCACAGTTGAGCTCAGCCGTGTCCAGTATTATCAGCTAACCTCAGCTGTCTGTCTTCGACACACAGCAGGGGTCTTTATGGTGCAGCCAAGACCCCCCATGGGTTCACTGAGGATAAATCTGTTTATTAGTGCTAGTTGTTTGAATCATATGTCTGGAGGTGAATGGTGCTTTTTACACTGTGTGTTGTGGCAATAATGTTGAATGCTCTATGTTTGTGGAGTATGTTTAGTGGTTATACTGTATGTACAAGAGTATGTGTATGTAACACGGCTCCTTTCTCTGTGTCCTCCACAGCGCCTTGCAGGCAGAAACGGTCAGGTTGCCCAGGGAAACCTGCAGCAGATGCACCAAGAGCCCACCTTCCTACTGTGGATGGGTGTTCTGATTGGACGACTATTACAGATAATCCTGCGGAGAAGATGATGGACAGACAGAAGGCCCAATCCCATCCTCTGGAGCACCCAGCAGACACATACTGTAGAACCTGGGAGACTTCTGTTAAAGACCCATTACATAAATGAATATGTAAAATTGTCACATTTTCAAAATGGACTCTCCTTCATATGTGGACCTTTACAACTTTGTCTTGATGGTTTCTGACCTTGAATGGCCTCAAGATTCCCTGATCCAGCATAAATTGGGATAGGGAATTTGTAAAGCTTTGGGAATACTTTCTTTTGAAATTCTACAACACCTGGAATTTTGCACCTATGTTTCCTGCGCGGATTTGGAAAGCTGAGCCTAATCAAAGAACCAAAGATGGAGTGTCCTGTTGTGGAGCGCTCACAGGGATAATGCTGTGTGGATAATGCTTTGTGGAGGTTACATGTACCTTGTACAGCTTATTTTTTTCTAAAACTACTGCGCTGTTTTCTTTTTCTTGCAGTTATGTATTTTTCACCTCTGTATTTAATTTGTTTGTTTCTATGTGTTTGTGAGTTTACCCATTGGTCAGATGTGTAGAGTCTGCGCTGTGTCTGTTCCTCCTGGTCCTCATGGCAACTCACTGTTTCCCTCCCAAAACTAATCTGCAAATGTAGTTTGATGCAGTCAGTCCCATGGCCGGTTCCATGGACCCAGATTAAGTCTGTTTAATGGAGAGTCTCCATTGAAAGTGTTTTTTTAAGTCCAGGAGTAGTTTTAGACAACAGTTGAGTGTGCACTTCAATTGTCTTTATTAACCCTTTAGGTATTAACCTCGAGCAATAACTGAAGATGCAATTTCAGTCAAGCCAGATATAAAATATTAAATTAAATTATATGTAAGCACCATTTTTTATGTATTGCCTTTCTAAACATATTCAGTATTAAGAGCAATAGCATGGATGTTAGTAGTCATTGTGAGAACAGAAAAAAAACATTGATAGCAACTACAATGCCTAAAATAATGATATATAATTAAATCAAAGTAGATCTACATGAATTAGGGCAAACAATGTAACTTCTTGAAACAACGTATTTTACTGTTATCTCACTTGTTTCCCCCGCCCTTATCAGCTGTCAAACATCATTCTTGTTATCATTTAGCCTTTGGCTCGGACCTGCTGTTGTCAGTGCTTTGTTAGCCCAGTTGACAGCCAAGTCCAGTGCAGTGTTGCTAGGTCATTAAAAGCTCATAGAAGCTTTGCTGGAAGAGAACCAAACTATGAGCCAACATTAGCCAGAGGAACAGGTATAGAGAGCCAATGGATTCAATACAGGTTTGAATGGGTGGGATCACTCGCAGTGCTTGAGAACTTAGATGGATAGATAGTGAGAAAAACCACCAAGCATTCTTGACAAAATTCTTGAAACATTTTTGTATTTCTGATCTGTGGTAGTATGAATGTGTTTTTTAAGAAAGTGAAGTAGGGTTACTTTGGATGTTTCATGTTAAATGTGACCACATTCTGCACCATGGGTTTTAAATTGTATGTGTCCCCTCATGTGACCCAAAGATTGATTATACTGTCATTTTGCTGGTTGGTTCCTATTGTAAAGTACAGTATAGGTGTGGTTCAGTCCAACTACCTTGGTCACCCTTTTGATTCCAATGCCTCCCATCTGTCAGTCTGTTGGTATTTGATGTGAAAACTCATTCCACACCCACAGTTCAATAAACATTATCCAGGAAATTGCATGTTGACAGTATAAAATGTAATGATAAAAGCATATCTTTAAAATAACATAGCACTTACAGCTCATTCAAGGTTTTATGTGGCAAAAATCTGCCTTTTGGATTTATTAAAAAAAATGTTTTGCTGACCGTGGAGATGAAATATAAGGTTGATGGTATTGGTTGATGACAGTTCTGCAAACCCAATTTTGAGAAGTGCATCATGTGTACCATTCTGTCATGTTTTTCTTGGCACCAACATTTTACTGCTCTGCCATGTTCTATATCTTGTATGACTGTCTTTTCTTTTTTGGTGTTGCCAAATGAAACCAAAAACCTCATTTCAAAGTACTGTATCTCAGAAGGGTTTATGTAGTCGTGTCTAGAGACGCTTTCCAAGAGAACAACTGAAAGCTGAACTGTCACCTTCTGAAACTGATATGGAAACTTCTCCGACAGTCAGCCAATGGTTCCATGTACTCTAGATATACAGTGGGGAAAAAAGTATTTAGTCAGCCACCAATTGTGCAAGTTCTCCCACTTAAAAAGATGAGAGAGGCCTGTAATTTTCATCATAGGTACACGTCAACTATGACAGACAAAATTAGATTTTTTTTCTCCAGAATATCACATTGTAGGATTTTTTATGAATTTATTTGCAAAAGATGGTGGAAAATAAGTATTTGGTCAATAACAAAAGTTTCTCAATACTTTGTTATATACCCTTTGTTGGCAATGACACAGGTCAAACATTTTCTGTAAGTCTTCACAAGGTTTTCAGTGATGTTTTGCAGTGATGTTTTGGGGCTGTCGCTGGGCAACACAGACTTTCAACTCCCTCCAAAGATTTTCTATGGGGTTGAGATCTGGAGACTGGCTAGGCCACTCCAGGACCTTGAAATGCTTCTTACGAAGCCACTCCTTCGTTGCCCGGGCGGTGTGTTCGGGATCATTGTCATGCTGAAAGACCCAGCCACGTTTCATCTTCAATGCCCTTGTTTTCACTCAAAATCTCACGATACATGGCCCCATTCATTCTTTCCTTTACACGGATCAGTCGTCCTGGTCCCTTTGCAGAAAAACAGCCCCAAAGCATGATGTTTCCACCCCCATGCTTCACAGTAGGTATGGTGTTCTTTGGATGCAACTCAGCATTCTTTGTCCTCCAAACACAACGAGTTGAGTTTTTACCAAAAAGTTCTATTTTGGTTTCATCTGACCATATGACATTCTCCCGATCCTCTTCTGGATCATCCAAATGCACTCTAGCAAACTTCAGACGGGCCTGGACATGTACTGGCTTAAGCAGGGGGACACGTCTGGCACTGCAGGATTTGAGTCCCTGGCGGCGTAGTGTGTTACTGATGGTAGGCTTTGTTACTTTGGTCCCAGCTCTCTGCAGGTCATTGACTAGGTCCCCCCGTGTGGTTCTGGGATTTTTGCTCACCGTTCTTGTGATCATTTTGACCCCACGGGGTGAGATCTTGCGTGGAGCCCCAGATCGAGGGAGATTATCAGTGGTCTTGTATGTCTTCCATTTCCTAATAATTGCTCCCACAGTTGATTTCTTCAAACCAAGCTGCTTACCTATTGCAGATTCAGTCTTCCCAGCCTGGTGCAGGTCTACAATTTTGTTTCTGGTGTCCTTTGACAGCTCTTTGGTCTTGGCCATAGTGGAGTTTGGAGTGTGACTGTTTGAGGTTGTGGACAGGTGTCTTTTATACTGATAACAAGTTCAAACAGGTGCCATTAATACAGGTAATGAGTGGAGGACAGAGGAGCCTCTTAAAGAAGAAGTTACAGGTCTGTGAGAGCCAGAAATCTTGCTTGTTTGTAGGTGACCAAATACTTATTTTCCACCATAATTTGCAAATAAATTCTTTAAAAATCCTACAATGTGATTTTCTGGATTTTCTTTTCTCAATTTGTCTGTCATAGTTGACGTGTACCTATGATGAAAATTACAGGCCTCTCTCATCTTTTTAAGTGGGAGAACTTGCACAATTGGTGGCTGACTAAATACTTTTTTTCCCCACTGTATATGCGTTGAGTGACTGCATGGTCCATACTGTCCATCCATCTTAATGGATAGAGACCATAAAGAGGAATAGCATTTTCCCCAGACACATCAAAATTCCCAAGTTGGATCCATACAAGTGCAGGTTTGTACCTCTTGCACTATGATTACTGTACCCAGAATTCAGTCTGTTCAGGACCCTTTTGCACTCTGCGCAGACAGACAGAAACTGATCTATCTGACTCACAGGACCCAGTACATTTGTAGCAAAATGTCATTGTTATTTTTTATATTTTCTAATTTGCACTGAAAGATTGCAATGTTGTGATTTCAATTGTGCAATACTGTTGTGCCTGTATAAAGCCTTTTTTCATCTTTAAAAAAAAAATGTTTCTGGAATTTTCTTTCATTGTTGATTAAACCACATTGTTTTTCATGAAAAGTCAATAAGCCCCTGTTGTTGTTCTATAACCACACATATTGCAGTCATAATGAGTTAGTCACAGGCAGTTCATAGAAAGGGTGACAAAATATGTTTTAGTGCAAACTGTCACATCATATGCCTTCATTTGTGTAAATGTCATACAGTAAGTCAATTCTCAAAACTGTCTCTCTATTTGGGTTCAAGTGAAAATAGGACAGACTATTAATTTATGTATCTGTGTGGCGGCCATGCTTATCTCTGATCATCTGCAGGACACGGAAATACGGTACCTTCCCCAGCTTGGCACAAACCGCTCGAGATAATTATGCATCCCAAATTCAGGCAGTCAGTGGCTGCTTCACTCAGCTCCATGTAACTTGGTGCACAGTCCAGGTTGATTTCCAGCATCCATATAGAGATAACATTTTAACCACTTAGTGGGAAGGTAAACTCAGTTGAGAGGACAGTACAGTAGATAGGTGTTAATTCAGCCTGAGGCGTAAACATTTGGTTGAAACTTGTAAGATGAGTCACAAGAATCCAGAACGATCTGCACTCTCTCTCACACGTGTTTGTTTTACTATTCTTGTGGGGACCAAACAGTTGATTCTCATTCAAAATCCTATTTTCCCTAATCCCTTAACCTAAGCTTAACCTTAACCCCAAACCCCTAACCCTAACTCCTAAACCTAATTCTAACCCTAAAATAGCCTTTTACATTGACATTTACATCATTTAGCAGACGCTCTCATCCAGAGCGACTTACAAATTGGTGCATTCAACTTATGATAGCCAGTGGGACAACCACCTTTTTTTTAATGGGGGGTGGGGGAAGAAGGATTACTTTATACTATTCCAGGTATTCCTTAAAGAGGTAGGGTTTC